AAAAAAAACAGTTGACTTAGGTGAACACTAACCCTAACACAACAATAACCCTGCTTGCAGTGAATGTGCAGCGAATGGTACTTTCGAGGAAGGAGATGATAACTAAAGCAGCAGACGAAGAGTAACGAGCGTGTACAGAATGAGGGAACTCACTCCCGCCTCCTTCGAAGAAATACTTGAAACAACTGCGAAAACAGAGCACCAGTAGTAGAAACATACCGATTTTTTCAAGCCATCCAACTCTCTCACGACCGTATAGGGAATAACAGCGTGGTAGAGCCCTGTAATGAAGCACTTATTATCAAAGTAAGAAACATCCGATAAGTTACTGCAATGCAGCCAGGAACCATCAACATTCGAGATGAAGTGCCAATGCTGAACAGATGCCAAAAGTGCCACGAAACGGCTAACAAGTGCTTATCTCAGGAGAACCACAGAGCTAGTAATGCCACCTGGAGAAAAATGGAACTGTGTGCCCAAGTTCGCGACGCTTCGATATGAAATGTGGAACTGCGTTGGAGCGGGTGAAACGAGTGCAGGAGGAGGACAGAAGGATTATACATCGGACTACCAAAATGCTAACAATTCGTTTGTCGCTTTTCCTCTTTTCTTACCCTATTCACTATCATTATCCGAGCTACCACCGGACTAAATGCATACGTTTTGGAGAAAGAGTCAAAAAAAAAAAAAAAAATCAAACGTTGGATGCAACGAGTGAGCAATGTTGTATCCTGTAAAAGACAGCTCGTATCAAAAACTATCACAATTGCACTTTTGCCAGCTCCATCACCACCCATGCATTTTGTGGAATTCGTAATCGTTTCAACATCCTGAAAAGAAAGAAAAACATAAAAACGCAGCTTCTATGAGGATTTTTTTTCCCATTTAAACACTTTGAATTCACAGACAATCAGAATTCGTTGCTCTTACAAATTCACAGACTTTAATTTCTTGCATACCAGTGTGAAAGATAATCGCGAAACATTTCACAGCAGTGAAGGGCCACAAAAACAGCAGCCCTTCAGAATCCCATGCATCTATCGTTCTTTTAATGAAAGAGAGAATTAAGCAGGAATAGGTATGAGAATAATCGCTGGCCATATTGATGTCGCAAGCAAACGCCAAGCAACAGACGATAAAAGTGCTTAAAAATCTAAGCTAAAATAACGCTATCAAATCAATTTTTAGGTAAATGACCGAAATTTTGCTGTATATTTTTGAATGAGACAAAAAACAAACCTTTGAAATTATATCTGGACAAAAATAATAGTCACGACGAAAGGCTTGCACTTCTCCGACAACGAAATCAATTTCCATTGGTTCTTCCTCATTACTTAGGCCTAAAAATTCGAAAAAATAGCACCAAAACAAATATTGTATAAAAAGTAGCAAAAAAAACAAGTCGGAATACTTGAATGAGACGGGGAAGTGAATGACCCAGTAATTTTTTTTTTTAGTAAAGTTCTAAGGATGAGGAAGATCCAAAAGATAGCTACTGCACCAACAAAAAATCCAACACTGAAAAAACAACAGAACAAAATATCAAAGTCAATCCTAACAAACACATGAGCCTTGCTGCTGAACAACATACGATAAATAGTACTGGCCAGTGTGAATCAGTCCCAGGTGTAACTCTCGGGGCTGACACGAAGCCATGTTACTTGAAATCAGCCGCAGATAAGAGCTCGAAAAAGAAATGATTAATTTCCAGTGATGAAGTCCTACCCATGAGGAAGCGAAGCCAGAGAATAACGCACTTCCCTCCTCCCTTCTCTGCCTCTCCCTCCGCTCCCCCGCCCTTCCCTCTCGTCCCTCCATAAATGGTGAAAGCAAGCAAAACAGGACCTTCAATAATATTTTCATCGACTTCCATTAATTCATCACACGGTTCGCTGACACTTGGCACACCGCAGTCCGCTGCTGCAGTCTCATTCGCAGCATTATTCAGTGGCGCGCTTTCCTCCTCTGAGGTAATGCTCTTCTTAGGCTTTTCTGCCTTCTCTCTTAAAAAAAAAGAAATGCTTCGCTGCAGCGGTGAAAACAAGTAATTTGGAATCTCTCGAGATCTGCTGACTTTTTGGATTTCTCCGCAGCTTCCTGCTTTGTTTCTGCTTGTTGTCCCGTGCTACTGCTTGATTGGCCGACAACCGGGAACTCCCATGACGACTCTTTTGTCACTGTATTGTAGTAAAATATCCTGAAA